ACTACAAATATCAGTCTAACTATAGCATGTTATATAAAACTAGGTAAGCTATATATGAAATATAAAAAGTTCTAGTAAGTTTTTTGTTAAAGATAAAATAATTCTAAGAATACTAATAGTTATCAAAACTTTGAATAAGCTGTGTTCTAAAAATATTCTATAATACAAATTGAATTGCATATACAAGAGGTTTAAATAAACAAGACTTAGAATTAACTTATAGATATGATATCATGTATAAAACTTGTATAATAATATATAGGTGAACTACTTAAATTAAGTGCTAAAAATGTACATATAATTAGCTATAACCTTCTATATAAGGAAACTCTAAAGATTTTTATGTTTTAATAACTTGAATAAAAATTATTTTTTAAAAACAAAGACTTTAATACAAAAAAAAATATCTATTATAGTAAAATTTTGAACTATTATTATATTTTAAAAAAATATACTTGTATATATTACAAATTTTTTAAGTTATCTTAAAAATTTTTAAAATAATACAAACTCATCAAATTTGATTGGCTAATTTACATTAATTTATAAGTTAATTTTATTAATAAATTTTTATATCTAATATTTAAAATTATATATTTTTTAAGTTTTTTAACCAATTTTAATAATTTTACTATCATTATAATCAGAAAACATGCTCTACAAATGTTTCTTATAAATTAAAATTAACTTAATATAATTTTTTATAAAAAAATTACAATTAAGTTTATATATAATTTTAAAATAGTACCTACCCTTAAATAGGCAACCAAAAGTTGCATGTATGACTAAGTTGTACACTTATTCTTATATAGTTATATGTAATATATAATTATAAACGCAATAAAGACCTTAGTCACTGTTACTATCGGCCTTAATAACAAAAAAAAATAAATTAAATTATATTAAAATTTTAGTAAACTTTAAAATATCTTGACAACTACATATCTAATTAATTTGATAAAAACTTGGAATAAAGTGAAACCTAAATTGATTTTTATTATTAGAGTGAATATAAAAAAAGTAAAGGCATTTTTAGGTGACTTATATAAATTAATTAAGGTTAGGTTGTGGTGTACAATAATAACGTAAACACCTCAAACGCGGGTTTCACCCTGTTGTAAAATTTTTACAAATTATAAACTTAAATAAAATAATTTTTTTTTAATTGAATTTGTCAATATTTCTGTTTAAAAGTTAAGCTTTCGATTTGCTACTTATTAAACACATGGCTGATAAGTCACATAGCAAAGTGCGTGTAGAATACTAATATTTACTATTTAATTTCATTCTTTAATGAGTATAAAAAATTTATTAAGTGTGATTCTAACATAAAGATATAAAAGAACTATTCAAGCAAAACCAGTGTCAGGAAAGTAAAATGTCGAGAAAATTTAATGCATTATAATGATTCGTCGTAAATAACAATTAGATAATTTACATTAAAATTTAAGATGGCACTTTTATCTAATAGTGTCTGGCACTTTGTGCCCGTGCTTTAATAATACCTAGCACTTTGTGTTCATGCCTTTAATAGAGTCCTGCACTTTGTATCCATGCCTTTAATAATGCCTGGCATTTTGTGCTTGTATCTTTAATAGCACCTGGCACTTCGTGCCTGTGCTTAGCATTTTTGTGCATATTAGCATAAACATGGCATAAGGATACTGGTGCCTGGCATGACGCAAATATGTCAGGTACAGGCATTTGCAGACCCCAAGTAACATGACTATGTATGTCTTCTTGTTTTTGCCTTTTAATGTGTTCACAATATTCACAAAAAAAAAAGATTTAGCCATTCCAAACCATTTTGAAACCCGATAATTGTTGTTAAACTGATTGTTTATTGCTAACGGCCACATTATTTTGTGATCATATCGCGTATAATAAGTAATAAATGGATGTGATAATTACCAATGTGAAAACCGGTTAACACTGATAATCATAGGACACTAGGATTTTTTTTAATATATCCAGACTATTTGACTAAAAAATTGGTCAATTCTTATCGTTATTTATCATTAATCTTATACATAAGCAATCATTATACCTTCTAAAATTAGTAATAAAATTAATATAAATAATAAAGTAAGAATTAAAAAGATACCAATAAAATAAATTTAATATAACGATAATAAAATGTTTATAGCATAATGATATTCAGGAAGTAAGGTTATTTACATTCTTTCTTGTTTTTATAAATTCATTTCCTTCACGCTCAATCTTCTGCATAATTTAAGTGGTAACAATGAACCTTAATATCTATTTGTTTTGCTGCCTTAAAAAAAAAAAAGTTGATTGGAGATTAAGCTACGTAAATATTACATATGTACCAGATATGCATGTTAGTTTGCTAAGTAGAAGAACTTAAAAACTTCCTATTTGTGCACAAGTTAAAATTTCTTAATGGTAAAATCACGCACAAGATTTCTTATTTGTACACGAAATTTATGCTCAAAATATAAATGTGCGTTTTATAATTTCCACCAGAGGTTTTGTTTTCTTTAAGTATTTGATAAATCTTTCTATCGATATAAATTATATAATAATGACTACCAACTTCCTTCATCGTTTATCTCAAGATTTCACTAAACTGCTCGAGAATGAATATGATTATAATGTGATAATCGAAATTGGAGAAAATCCTAATGTCAAGTTATTTAAAACACATTCTGCAATTTTATCACAACGATGTCCTTATTTTTATCGAGAATTAGAAAATATCCCGAGAAATAGCGAGAATATTAAAGAAGTTAAAATAAAACAGATATCAGTTGAGATCTTTAGTAATATTCTCAGGTAAATTGTTTAAATCGATAAATTTATTATCATCATAAAGTCAACATAATTTTATTCATGTATTTAGATATATATATGGCGGCAATGTATCTTTAGAAAAAATTGAAGATCCTTCAGAAATTTTTAAGCTTCTTATTATTTCAAATCAATTTGGCCTAGACGAATTGGTGGCACATATTCAAATGCACCTCACTAATACACATTTAGATTGGATTCAATTGAATATAATACCAATACATCGAACAAGTTTTAAAATTGAAAACTTTAAAATTTTACAAAACTTTTGTACTGACATAGTTGCAAAAAGCCCAGAATTAGTATTTGATATGGAAGATTTTGATTCACTTCATGAAAATGCTTTGATTACTCTCCTTGAACGTGATGGTTTGAATGTTAAAGAGACAATAATTTGGGATTATGTCATTAAATGGGGAATTGCTCAAACACCAAAATTATCCACTGATCCTACACAATGGTCCAATGATGATTTTTTGACATTGAAAACTACACTAAATCGCTGTTTACCGTTAATTCGGTATTTTCAAATCCCTGGTGAGGATATTATGGATAAAGTACAGCCTTATCGGCAAATACTTGATCCAAACGTATGGTCAGATATAATGTCAAAATTTGTTGCACCAGGCAAACCCGTAGCTACACCTATTTTGCCCTCTCGCACAATATCAAATGCTAAGTTAATCTCTACTACGACCACAAGTTCATCAAAATCTAATAATAGGCTTTCTATACCTTCACCTTTGCCAACACCTTTATTTTCTAATCTAATCTCAAAAGGACATGCCGCTGAAATTGCATCTTGGATAGACAGACGGAGTATTTCATATGATTTTGCAAGAAATCCTTATGAATTTAAATTACTTTTTCGAGGGAGTCGTGATGGGTTTAATGCTAAAGCGTTTCATTCATTTTGTGATAACAAGGCTAGTACTATAATTGTGTTAAAAGTCAAAGGTACCGATGAAATTATCGGTGGATACAATCCAATTCCATGGAACAAAGGTAGAAAACTAGGAAAACTTATTAAAACAAATGATAGTTTCTTATTTTCTTTGGATAAAGAAAACATTCATAACTCAGTTCTTAGTCGTGTGAAAGATCCGAATCTTGCACTTTGGTATTCTTCTTTTTCTACTGATGGACCAAATTTTGGTAATAATGATCTTGTAATGATGAATAATTTCAAAGATGATAAGAAATGTAGATGCAAAAAATCTGTGTATGAAAAACCTATTAGAAATACAACTGATTATTTTTCGGTTGAAGAATTTGAAGCTTTTCAAATTCGGGATAAAAAGACATTGGAGATTTCACGAGATTTTAATTTTATTTAACCTTTTAATTTGTGTTCATTTTATTTTTCATGTTTTATTTTTTATTTACAAGTCAAATTTCAATAAAATCACGTGAGTACGCATATCGTTATGTTAATAATACAGTAATATGATGAAAGTCATTTTAGTGTTATGAATCGAGGCAAAAATGTAATCGATTAGTTGGTAATCATTTTTTTAAATATATATAAATAGATTAATAGATCGATTATTTAATCTATTAGTTATTGTGGTTTGTAAAATTTTTAGATGATTACTTGAGATTTCCGATTTCTTAAAAACTAACTTGATATTGCAAAATGAAATTATCCAATTGAAATTTTTGCAAACCACAATACACGTTACCCTACTTATATCGACATCTAAATACCGTATAAGCGCGAAATAACGCGCAGGGGCCTTATTTCGAATAATGACCCGAATTAAGCTTAATTTAGATCAAAATTCGAAATTACACACCTGTCCTACCTAAAAAATTTCGTTGCTAAATTAAGGTTAGGTTTTGCTATTAATTTAGGTTCGGAAAGTTTTCTAATATCAAAATTTCGCAAGGAAAACTTTTTGTTAATGCGCAGGTGGTTTCATAGGTAAAATGTTGAAGGACTGGGGTATTGCATAATAAATGATTTACAAATAGGGATGGATATTTTCATAAGTTAGAAAATCATCCGATTATTGCATCCAATCAGATTCAATATTTCGTAGACAAACGCAAACTCGAGTTAAACCATACACTTCGTTACACTACGTTCCTGGTATGTAATACCATATTTGTGGATTAACGTTATTGATGAAATGCATATCCTGTTCTAGACGCCAAGATGAATACACATAACGCATAATGCGAGCGTGATGCTTAGGAGCTTGCCGATCACTTTATTAATACTATTGAAATTTCCTTTTCTCTGCTATGGTAGTACTGTATTGTATAAAGATAGGGACCTTGAAGGTAATGGCGTATAGTATTATGTTTGTATGATCTTCAAGATCTCTACGTATAACAATATTGGTTTAACGTAAATTGTGGATGCTGCCTATTGAAATTTCCTTAATTTCATTTTCTGCTATTGAGATTCCTTTTTGCTATTGTAAATTTCTCTGTAAACAGATTTCCGTTTTTACATTTTTTTTTTGAACACCAAGATACGTAACACGTATCTGAGGACGTCTCATGATGTATTTTTTTTGCATTTTTAATCTATCTATATTTGAAAATTTTATAACTACGTATTATAAATACAACTACAGTACAATAATAACATTAACATCCTTTTCTTTAGTTTCAATTCATCATTGAAATAACGGTGTTTATTTTTTTTTATAAATAAAGTATTTAAATAATTTTTTATTATACTTTACGCTAACGTTAAATTTATTTAAGTTGAACCCTGATGATAAAAATATCACTCAAAATTTTCAAACTCTAACAAATGATATACACAATAAAAATGAAATTAAAAATACACAGAAAGACACCAAAGAATCAATAAAAAATGAAAATGAACAAGAAGATGGACAAGAAGGACAAAATTATTCATGTTATTGTTACATAGATGATGATAAAGTATACGGAGGGTGTCCATGTACAGGACAAAATCAATGCAATTGTAGACGATGATAAAGTACACGCCGGGTGTCAATATACAGGAAAAAAAATGAATGTTATTGTTAAAAATGGTAATTATATTTTGATTGTTTTTATTTTGACTTATTTTTATGATAACTTAATTTTATATATTAGTTCTAATTAAATGTATCATGATTTTAATTTTCAACTTATTTTATATCATATTAGATTCTAAACAAATCGAATTAGTTATATCATATTATTTTTTTTAATTTATCAATCAATAAGTCCGCCTTTC